GTGTGTGTGTGTGTGTGTGTGTGTGTGTGTGTGTGTCCACTCACTCGAAGGTGAAGAACAGGCCGCTGGTGAGCAGGATCAGGACCAGGGTCAGGTAGAAGACCCCGGTCTGTCTCGCCATCATGATCCTCCCGTCGCAGTAGAACCGGTTCCTTCCCGGGAACAGCTGCCACTTCCTGCGGGGGGTCCGGCTCCTCTGGCCGGGGAAGGTGGGCTTCAGCGCCTCGGTGGTGGTGGTGGGGGGGCCCGGGCACGAGCCGCTGCTGCAGATCTGGTTGTACTGGTTCTGGTTCTGGTTGTGGTGGTGCTGGTCCAGATCCGCATGGTGGATCTGAGACATGTGTCCTCACAGGTGAGCGGACAGGTGAATGAAGCTGTGCGCGTGCTGCTGCTGTGGTGCGTTCAGGCTCTCCGGAGGTTCAGGTGAATCCTCGAGTCTGGAGACAAAATAAAATAGAATAAAATCACGTGTTTTTATTTTATTTTGTAATATTTCGTAAACAAACACACGCGTGTCCCAAAAAAATAAATCCACAGACCCACCACCACCAGACACACCCCCGTGAAGCGTCCCCCTCACATTATGCAGCGGGATAACGGATCCGGTGCAGGTTCAAGAGACCGGCTGCAGGACGGGACCGGGAGGGTTCCGGGACCGGGAGGGTTCCGGGTCCGGATCGGGAGACGGACGGCGGCTTTGCTCTGGAGCTTCAGGGGGGTCAGTGAGGAAGAGGAAGAAGAGGAGGACGTGAAGAGCATCCTGATCCTCCGCAGACCTGCTGGAGCTCAGCCTGCACAGATCCTCTACGAGCCAGAAGATCCACTCTGTCCGGAAAAAAAGAAACAAAAACAGATTCAGTTTAAAACAAAACTAAATGATTTGTCTTCTTTTTACCTGATAAATGAAACAATTCAATCAATTTACATCAACATCATCTTCAGATAATAATCTGCATTAAAACTTCACTTTTGATTGATTTGAGGTTCTGTATTTTAGTTCCTTAAAATAATAGAATAATTAAAAACAGACTGTTACACATGTGTATTAAAACTATCTTCTATTAATATTACATTTTATTATATTTGTTATAATTAACATCTTTTATTTGTATTTATAAATGTGTGTATTTATGTTTGTACTTTTTTCTACCAGTATATTTGTGTGTATCTGAAGACTTCTGTGTATTCTTTCTTTCCTTTATATTTAATTTTTCACACATATTACATAAAGACTTTTTGTCTTTGTTTTATTTTCCAATAAGAATAGAGGGAACTGTTATTTATTTATTTTTATTTACATATTTCTACATCATATCTAATTTATGAAACAATACTCATTCATCTCATTTTGACTTGATAGATCTTTGGCTTTATAAAGTAATACAACTGATTTTACATTCATTATATTTACTGAAGTACACTTCATTTTAAAGGGACTTTTACTTTGCTTGAACATTTAAGTTTGATATTATGTATACAGCTAGAATTATTACATGTATTTAACTATTCAAGTTAATTATCGGATCAAATTTGTACATAAACACAAGATATTATAGATAATCTATATGTAATTATGTAATTGTAAACTGGGATAGTTGTATTAATGAGAGTTAGACCTCTTTATCTTCTCCCGGAGAGCAAACAGAGTTCCACAATAGACGATCTTTGTTTCAGGAGTCCGTCTCCGCGTTTCCTCCGTAAAATAAAGAGGTACTTAAAAACGTAAAAAATAAAACATGTAGTATTTCATACACAAAATAACAAACCATACTTACATGTAAGTTTGTACATCTTCACTACGACACGTATACATTAATATTTCATAATAATAATAATTAAAAACAACATATAGAAGGTTCCTAGCTAAGCGTGTTTCTCTCCGGTCACTTTTCCGCTGACGGACTGAAACAAACATGGCGGCGGCCGCTGATGGAAACACGACCGTGACCGTAGAAGAAGAAGCAGAAAGGGACGAAGAGGCCAAATTGCGGATATTAAAAGTTAAGTTAGCAGTTAGCATGTAGCTTATTTTAAGCGTTTGTTTTGATTTATTAACGTTGATTCTATCTGAGGTCAAAGTGATGTCGACCTGTTCACCCCAGAGTCCACTTAAACATCCTTCACTTCAACGTTTCCTCACGTGTTCAGAACCCTTCTCCCTCTAAACGTCTTTAATCCTCAGACACTGAAATAAGATTGTGTCTTCAGAGTTCCGGCTGAAATAAAAGAAGAGTCGTATCTATTTTATATTTTATATTATTTTGGTCAGTTTCATCCTGCAGAGACACAGATGTGATGCCAGACTCCATTCAACCTATGTTTAATGTTTAATGTTTAAGAGAATCTCACGTGACATAAAATATAATTTTACTGTTCAACACGAGGACTTCGTGTTCAGTTCTTCGTGACTTAATCCAACAAGCAGCCGCGTGTTAATAATTTAAACTCTCACATTTGCTTTAATTTGTCCTCAAGTCAGAGTTAATTAACCAATCTTTAAAATACAGAAAGTAAAATCTTAATTATCTTTTTGTTCACATGAAAGTAGAAGTGATGGTAAACAGTTTGCTGTGTTTAGAGTATAAATGTGGTTAAAGCAGTTTGTATGATGATACATTATGTTCTCATTCAGTTCAACAATAACAGCAGCTTTTATCCCTCGTGTGTGTTTGTGATGCTGACGTGTCACTTCCTGTGTGCAGGTGCAGCGTTTCTCACCACGGTGGCGTCTGCAGGGATGATGGCCGGATTCGGCTCCACGTTGGCTCTGGCCAAGAAGAAGAGCCCAGGCTGGTTCAGTAAGGTACCGTTTATCTCTGTGACACACGGATCACAGAGACTTTCCTCTGTGTGTCCATGAGTCCATGAGTCCATGAGTCTATGAGTCTATGAGTCTATGAGTCCATGAGTCCATGAGTCCATGAGTCTATGAGTCTATGAGTCTATGAGTCCATGAGTCCATGAGTCCATGAGTCCATGAGTCCATGAGTCCATGAGTCTATGAGTCTATGAGTCCATGAGTCCATGAGTCCACTGCAGACAGCAGCTGATCACAGATCCGTCAGAGACTCTGTGACTAAATGTAAACGAATATAAACTAAAAGAAACGCGTGTTGTGATTCTGAAAACACTTTGATCTTTAAAAGTGACACAAACAATCACAACATATTAGCTGGTTTATTAAGTTATATATATATAAATAAAAACACACAAATACAGGATATGAATAAATATATAGACCAAAACTTAAAAAAGGGAAAATAAATGAAAATGTTTAAATTTCTTCTTTTGTATTTGTTATTGGTCTTTATATTTATATTGTCTGATTCTTTTATTTCATGGCACTCCTGTGACTCCGTACAACACGCGTTCCTCTGACGGTCGACCTGAAAATAGAAGATTTCTGTGAAATCACGACATCAAGCCTCTCAAGTGGAACTGAGTGCTGATTGGCCGCTCACAGGATCCGATTAAACGTGACGCACAAATAAACAACGAGCGACTGTTCCTTCAGTCCCGAGACAGACTCGTCTTTGTTAGAAACACGGAGCGACACGAGATGTTTTTAATGTCCGACGGCTGCTTTTATTCATTTTAATGGAATATCTGAGCCGCATATTAATATTAATAAACATGTTACACCGTGTGGCCAGAAGTATGTGGACACTTTAAACTGTCACTACCAATGTGTTAATGTAATAATACTCTGACGTTGCGTTCACTGACTCTGGTTCTGACGTTGCGTTTGCCGACTCTGGTTCTGACGTTGCGTTCGCCGACTCTGGTTCACTGACGTTGCGTTCGCCGACTCTGGTTCTGACGTTGCGTTCGCCGACTCTGGTTCTGACGTTGCGTTTGCTGACGTTGCGTTCGCCGACTCTGGTTCTGACGTTGCGTTCGCTGACGTTGCGTTCACCGACTCTGGTTCTGACGTTGCGTTCGCCGACTCTGGTTCCTGACGTTGCGTTCGCTGGTTCCTGACGTTGCGTTCGCTGGTTCTGATGTTGCGTTCGCCGACTCTGGTTCTGACGTTGCGTTCACTGTCTGGTTCCTCTGCAGGGCGTAGCAGCGACGGCGGCGGCCCCAGAGAGCGGAGCGTCTGTGGCCCTCAGGGCTCTGGGTTGGGGGTCTCTGTACGCCTGGTGTGGAGTCAGTCTGCTCAGCCTCACAGTCTGGAAAGTCCTCGGAGTTCACAGGGTACGTTTCTGCAGTATTAATA